AAAAGTGACGTCAAACTAGAGGTGGGTCTGTAATTCATAAATTAAATTGTAGTCTCGTCAATACTAAAAAAGTGGTAATACCTTAAATATTCTTATATCTGGGACCCCATAGCACAAATTGTCCCTTCAACTAGGAACGATAATATCTCTTTTGCGTAGTATTAATCCACATAAGCTGTGTATTGAAACGAGATTAGCTGCTAAAACTTTGATACCAAATGTGTATCACAAGGAGGTGCTGTTCTGAAGCAATGCACTTCCATTATTTATATAGGCTTTAGCTCAATTTAATCGTTATCTTAAACTTGCACTTTTAATGGCAAAATTTTATAAATTTTCAAGTTTTTTATTTAATTTAAATTTACTATGTATTTTGTCTAATAATGTTGTGACATTTTACAATTTTCTGCTAAATAAGATTTAAGATCTTTAAGATCTTTACTTTACAATTTAGGTAGTTCTCACTTTGGAGAGCAATTCTTTTTATTTTTTACTTATGATTTTATTGTAACATCTGAAAATTTTCAAGTAAAATAATTTTTTTTATATGAGGGGTTCTAAGAATGGTCGAGTTTACGTTCCAAACAACGACAAAATGCTGTTCAATACCATGAGAAATAGCAACGCTCAAAGGGTACAGCTAGTATTTAAATAAAATTTTATTATTTTAAAAGAATACTATTCAAATTGAAAAATTAAAAATAAAAATGTAATTAAATAATTTAATTATTCTACAGCTGATTTATGATTTCGTTCTAATAAGCCGCAGCAAGTAAATTTGTAAATGAACTTTCACAGCAAATTAACGAAATTCCAAGTACGAACATTCAAGTCAAGTCAAGTACAGTTTTGGGTCAGTTATCTTATGAACACTGACTCTTAGCTTCACGTTTGGTAGGACACGTGTTCAACCATTGGTACTTGTAGTCTCAAAAAATTAATTACGGATAATTAAATACAAGATATAATTTTAAAACCACAGATTATGGGTATTTGGCAATATTTGAAACAGATGTATGGTCAGTCAAAAATTTAATAAATTAAAATAATAAGAAAAAAATAATTGTTTTGTTTTTGTAGTTCACTACAATTCAAAACCTCTCTGTTAGATATAATAAGTTCTATTAAATAAAATGGTCACTGTCGTCATAGCTGACGTTAATATGCAATTTAATAAAATTTTATATAGTATAACATAATTTTTAAAGTTTTTAATTAGTTTTGCCGAAAAAGCCTCGCTTTCTTATGATGACAAAGAAGCTATTTTTCAAACTTAGAGGGTTTTCAAATAGCAAAGAAACAAAGGACAAACACAAAAATGTAGTCCAAACAATTTATATACGGACAATTAACTAATTAAGAAATTTGAATATATCCTAAGACCATTGATGATGAGTACTTGGCAATACTCGAAACAACGTTGTATGGTCAGCCAAATTTCAATTATTTAAATAAAAATTTTTGTGTTTGCCCTTTACTATTTGAAAACTCTCTAAAAAGTATAATATAATTTCACTATTCCTTTTTTTCCTTCCATTAACTGCATTGGTAGTTCAATTTTAGAACTATACAACTTATACAGTATTAAAAGGAGGCGTTGAAACATTTGCCGTTTTATCATTTCATCGATTATCAAGTTACTGAGCTACATACATATGAGTACTCCTAGTGCGAAAGAGGTTTCTTTTGTCATCCTTTGTGTTAGTCGAATATAAGGAATCATATTTATTGTTTGAATAATATTACCTTTTTAAAAATTAATGTGAACTTAAAAAACATTTTTTAAGTTATAAAATAAAAAAATTATATTACACTAATCAATTATTAATTTTACTTATCTTATTTTTGCATAAATTAGCAATATACATTCGTATAATGTATCTCGAGATTTTTTGATTTTTGCATTAGCATACCTATGTATATGAATTATAATACTACTATTATTTAAAATTTATTTAATAATTTATGATTTTAATGAACAATATTTATATTAATATTTTTTTTAATACTTTTTTTAATACTTTTTTAAAAAATTAGTTATTATTTAACAATTTAACAAAATTTTTAAACTTTATTTCAAATTTTTAGAATTATAAAATATCAAAATATCAGAAAAAAATTTTTAGTATCGCAATTTATTATTTAGCAATATATGTTGTAGTTAATAAAAACATTGTATATATGCTAAATGTATTATACACTATGTAGTATATACATTTATATTATATACATATATATTATATACAAATATTTTACATAATTATAATAAATAATACAGAGTATAACAATCAAATGAAATCAAATTTAATTATATATATTTTTCATGTTAAAAGACTTGGTATTCAATCCTTTTTTTTTTTAAAGCAATGCAACCCTGTAATTTGCAATGTGGGCTTAAGAAAAGCTTCGTTAAGTTCTTATCAATGAAACCCGTTATTGGTGTAAATCATCAAAAACAATGCAAAAATTCTTCAGTACACAGAAGGCGCACATGCAGTGCGAAGTAAATAAACGCAGTGGCATCTTTTAATAAAAACCATATTGTTTTGTTGTTGGTTTGAAGTAACAAGAATTTCGGTTTTCTAACGCTTTTTTTTATATATTTTATATATAAATTTGTGTTTGAATGAAAGTTACTGTGTAAATAATTTTTTGTGAATTAATATTACGGGACTCTGCATGTTTTTACTCGTACTTATCAACGCGTAACTCAACTGTCTTCAATGCCGATTGTCATAGAGTTTTGTTGGTAAGTTTATAATAAAATTTCTATATTAAATATTGTTAGTATTTTGACAAAGTGCTTAGTTATAATAAAATTAATATTTATATATTTAAGCGTATATTAAATATAATAATAAATACTTTATATATATATTTCTTTTATTTTTGTTTGTTTTCTGTTGACAAGAGTTAAGCTACCTTTTAAACTATAATTACACAAGCAGAATTTATATTAAATATTAATTTAATTTTTGATTAATTTTGTTTCTTAAAAAAACATAGTAAAACACGGTTTTTTACACAATAAAGAACTCAAGTTACCAAGAAATCATATGTTGCCAGTAAGACCTGATTTTTTAAATGGTTAAGAATAAAAGTTATTAAGAAAATATATGTTTAAAGTAAATTTCAAGTCCGCAAATTTCTTATAATGGATTATTTTTTAGCTTTCGCTCATACAAAATCGACTATTACTAACTAAAAAATCGAATATTATTTATCAAAGGTTAGGAAGAAAATGTCGCACATAACATCTCTAGAGGTGTCATACATTTTTGGCAAGAGATTTACAGATCAAAACTGAAACTGTGAGACACAGATTTTTTACTTTGGATTTTTACTCACCTTAAGTACCTTTTAATTGAGCTGAACTGCATCGTAACACCCACTTATATATTAACTGCTGTTGTTTTAGCGCAAGAAATAAAAAATACACACCCGGTTGTTTGGTTTAGATATATGGTTTACTTCTTTTAAATTCCTTTATTTTAAGCTTACTTACATCCAAATGTAACCTAACATGATTATTTAAAAATACTTGTATAAACTGTTAGATTTTGAAGAGTTGGTTATATAAAATAAAAAATAACTTAGAACAATGTTATTTGGTAAATTAAATAGAATTTAATAGGTCTACTATGGATATATAAGGCGAATCACTCGCTTAGAGTGTTTAATAGTCATACCATTATTTGCATTAATTTAGTTTAATACTTAATTTAATTTATTATTTAATTGAATATAATATATAAATTGATATTTATTTTAATTAAATATTTAATTTAATTTAATATTTTATTTAATTTTATTCTTTTAATTTTAATTTAAAAAAATTAATTTTAATTTATATTTAATTTAATTTAATATTTAATATAATTTGATACTTTCTACTTTGTACCTTATGTATAAAAGACATAACTTATAAGTCAGCATATTTATATTACTCGAATATCGAAAGTTATAAAAAATATATGTTTTGTCTATAGGCTTGACATCTGTTTATTTGTCTGTCTGTTATTTTGTTTATTCATCGATATTTTAATACACAAATCAGTCACTTCGATTTTGAGGTAATCTATTGAAACTTTGTACGAAAATGTTTTGTGAATGCAGATATAATTATATAATATAAAATATATAAAATAATTGCCAAAGATTAACCTTTATTTTTTAATACGTATATGTATGTGAATTAATTTTATTCGGTTAATTTCGAATATAACGAAGAATTCGAAGAAACCGCTTAAAAAGAATTGGAGATTATAGTTAATTTGATTTGTGACATACTTATCTAAGTTCAACAATAGCTATTTTTTGTTTTGTTTTTAGTTTCTTCATTCTTTAAATATGTCAGAACATCATCGTTTGCTATATGCCCCTATCTATTATTCCTATTGTTCTTTAAACATTATATACTTCACCAAATCATCATTTTTGGGACGATCTTTTCATTGTTCCTGATGTGTATTGTGACAAATGTAATAAAATAATTAAAACAATTTATTTATTTTATGATTTATTTAATAAAAATTAACATATCGCAAATTTCAAAGAATCACTTCTTCAATAAAACTTTGATATACATATGTATAAATTCTTATTATATTTAACACTTGTCAAAACAAATGTAGTTTATATGAGAGTTCATTTATCTTCATGATTCTGATTTTAAGTCCGAATTAGAGTAAAAAAATTTTGCTGGGTAAGAGTATCAATGTCAATGCTTGTCTAATTTTTTAATTGTTGAAGTAAATTTCTAATTACGATTCTTATATGGTTTTTTCTTTAGATTATTTTTTATATTATTAGTGTTATTTAATTGTGAATAAATTTTATTAATAAGTCTCATCACTGCCGCCCATATTAAACTTTGGTTTAACTAATAAATTGCTCTAAATTTTTCCAATCTCTGTTTCCCTTCAATTATTTAATCAATTTATTTTATGTGTGGTCTATACATATTACTTTGTTATCAATTAAGGCAGATATATATGGTAATTATAAAATTTCATAAATATAATAAATTCTTTTGACCGGGAGCAGATTTGTAAGAGGAATCAACTGGTGTTGATTTAAATTGAAATTTTTATTATGATTACAGGTCAATTGCTCTAAAATATGGTAGGTGGATGCAGGTCTCATTGCACAAGGTAGGCCTTATTTCATAAAATATGTTTGGAATGCTAGAGATATTTTTGATTACGGTTGAGATTCTTCTGCATTCTTGCTGCTCATTACGCAGTTGTTATATATTGATAATTATTGATAAAACTACTTCTTAGATTTCATTTTTGATTTTTATACAGAAGTACTAGTATTCATAAAATTGACACTTCAGATGTTGTTTCAAATGCTGAGATGTTTTTAATTACAGTTAAGTATCTTCTGTAGCATTGTTGTCATTCTTCAGTTGACTGTTGATGTCACAACTCCTTAGATTTCATTTTATACTGGATTTTATTTGTAATCTTAGGTGTCAATTACCTATTGATGTGAATGTAGAATGCAAATTTTTGATACCTAAAATTACAAACAAAACTATCTTGTGTATCCAGTATAAAATAAAATTTAAGGAATTTAAGAAGCATCAGTATAATAACAGCTATAATGCATAATGATTGTTACACAGAACCATTTAGTTTTATTCTAATATACATATATTTAAATAACTCTTACAAATATTGTTTTAAAGTTCAGGTAATGTTTAAAACTCAATTCTGATAATTTTGAATGCAAATTAAAGGAATATTAGATTCTAAGCTTAGTTTATAAAGTACATATATAAG